TTTTTTTTTCACTTCAATCTATACACCAGTGATTGTGAGAGTGAGGCAAGGGCCTGATCCCAAATTTTTCACGGTATCTTCTCAAATCCTTCCAATTCAATTTCCGAAATATCATTTCAAGGTAGGTTTTGAGATAGTATTTGCGAAACTGGATTGGAAAAGTGGTCCGGTAATCAATGAGAGCACTGATAAGTGCTCGTTATAATTGCAAAATATACAACTGAAAGTTCGTATTCTAGGTCATGCAGATGTTGCGCTTGCTGTCGGATTTGAGAAAATGGCGAAAGGTTCGTTGGAATCTATGGGTTATATGGATGATCGGACGCAACCGCTTGAGCAGCACATCAATGTCATGTCCAGTACATTTGGTTTGGTACCTGCACCACTACTGCCGCAAATGTTTGCTAATGCTGGACGCGAACACATGCAGAAATACGGTGGGTCGCAAATTGGTTTCGTTACCTCGGTTAAGTTAAAGCCAAAATCCAACTGCCTCCGAATTCGATCTCCAGGAGAGGGTAAAACACCCCGGAAATGTCTAATTGTTGGCAAGCACCAGAAGTAGCCACGTACTGACAAAGCTGTTTCGAAGGTCATTCAGGAAACATGCAGATGACTGTCTTTTATGATTCAGCATATATCAGTATTAATTGGCAAGTATTAAAAACAGTAAAATAAATAAACAGTTTAGGCGAGGTAATATAAAAATAATCGAATCGGCTAATCTAGAGAACAGATATTAGTGCTTTGATAATGCTGCTTCATTGTCGTTTTCTTCCCGCCCTCAGAACAGTTTGAATCTTTACCAGTATGAACTTATATGTGTCAAAGGGGCACATGTGCCGCTTCCTTGGACGAGAGGAACGCTTCCATTTATATTAAGAATATGAAGACTACTCGGGCTATTAGTGATGTTACTGATTTACTAGGATGCTCCTATAGACTTTGTGCTACAGTCAGATGTTTCGCTGAAAGTGATAAATTTTCTTATTAAATTTCAAAAGTATTAAGATTTCTTACAATCAAAGAGCCTGGCTTAACTGTGCCCGAAGTAACATTACCAACATGAAATTTTTGCACTGATTGACCGGGAGGTCTTGGCGTTCGAGGTGCTGAAGTTTTCACTTAATTATTCAAGCACTGCAGCCTTGCAGTTTTTCGTGAGTTTATTTCCAGGCACCAAACGAGAACATTTTGCTAAAATTGCGCACAAAAACCACCGGCATTCCACCAAAAATCCGTAAGTTTTTTGTGGTTATTTGTGAGCTTTGAGAATTTCGAAATCACTCATCTTACGTTTCTTATTTTGACGCAGAACTCCAATTGTCATTTGCTATTCAAACGGAGATTATCTGTAGCATTTTTTAAAGTTTTAACAAAAGTATGAGTGGAATTTGGGCTTACTGATAGAACAAATCATGAAACTCAAAGTTTCATGTACAGTTGGACGTCTTGTCTCCAAGCTTACCAGTCTTTTCAGTTTTCACTGTTCTGGAGCTAATTTGTCTAGAAGTGCTCATAAGGAGAATTAATGGTACTTAAAGAATACACGGGATAAGCCCCCAAAATGCTGGAAGCATTTGCTTGAACAGCTATATAGTCGTTGAGAGAGGTCCAAAATATAGAAAAGTGGAAAAATTGCCATTTCCATCATTGGCGATAAGAAACGTAAAACTGTCGGCGCATAAACCTAAGAACTTAGAAAAGCAAATAGAAGCACTGGTATTTTTCGAAAAAATTGTGTCAGTCCTTGTTTGTTTTTTAGGAATTCTCAATTCCAGAAAGAATACAGCATGGATGAGATTTTGAACGCAAGAAAAATACACGATTTTATGGGTTTGCTAGAATGCAGGTATTTTTTTAAACTAGTTAGATTCCTAGAGCGTACTCAATTTCCTAATGTGGCATTCTCAAGCCAAAATAGATTACACTCTTCATTTAAAATACTATCGCAACCCCATTTGGTCTAGTACATA